TGATGTCAGTGACTGTTGGGAGACAAAAGAATAACGTGTTTACTGACAAACACCCAGTTTTAGAAAGGCAAGACCTGTCTCACAGATTGGGGACCAGACAAAGGAATGATCGCTGCCAAGCAGCAGGTGTTACTTTCGTCCCAACTGTGACATCTTTATGTATGACAAAAAAACCCAAAAATACCTTGATTGTCACAGAGTATGGTCCGCTCTAAATTTGGTGGTCCAAGGTTTCTTGCAAGTGAGGTGAAGAAGATCCTTTTCAGGATTAAGGTTCATTGTGGTTTGCACCGGCACACCCAACAAAGGCTTCGTCTTCCACGCAACTGACTCCAACCTTCATTCAGACGAAAACCTGGGCTTTCCGTGTCCGAGGTCCCTATACATGTGAATTAAAGTGTTGGCAGTTCAATTAATGTAAAGTAAGTTAAAAATAATTGACTATCAAGAGGGCATTATACCTAGTCAAATTCAATTTTATTTCAGACTTCCCTTTATTCACAAAACATAGAAAATGCATTCGTAACCACTTCAAACACAAACTTTCAATGGGAACTTGTCAAACATTCACCACATCAACTTCTGAGCTCGCTTTCAAACTTCAGCACTCTTTCAGTGTCCCGCAACCCCACCCACCCACACAGACTTCACTAGCACAAGGTCACATTTTCACACAGAGAGGGTGGTAACAAGGAGAAAGTAAAGCACACAACCAGACACAGCATTCACGTCAAATCAGATAGCAGGAGAAGGCTACAAAAGGATACAAATACTCATAGCACTTGACATTTCACTGTGATTTTAAAGATTTAAGGTTGATAGAAAACAATGAGAGAAAGAGACCGTAGGGATCTCGAGATGCAATAAATGTCCTTGTGATGGCCATGGTGAACACACTCGTACTGGTTTCTTCCTCTCACACTCGCACAAAGCCACAGGTTCTTCTCAACTCTCGCAGGCATTTGTCTCTTTTGAATTAAAAAACAAAACAAACCAAAAGAAAAACAAACAACAAAAAAAGAAAAAACTCCGCACCAACAGTCCTACTCACACCGCTTTCTTTCATTTCGCTCTCCCGTTCGCTCACTCTCACTCGGGCCAACACCAATCCCACTCACTGATCTCAAAAAGTGACAACAGCAGACAAAATTTCTATATCCCAAAAATTAAAAAAAAATTAAAAAGGGGGAGAGGAAAAAAAGACAACACCCACCGTCTAATACAGTATATGCAGAGTGAAGCTGTGTTCTTGGATGACAAAGCATTTACACATGGGAGGAGGGGAAATGATACTGAGATCTGTCGAACATTGCTGCCAATGAGGCGCTTCCTCCCGGGAAATTGGGAAAGAGTTGGTGAACTGCAGAAGAGATTTCCATGAAGGCGTTTCCAAAAGATGTCAAACAAAAACAAAGATAAAATCAAATGCATACATACATATATATATATTTATATGTAATTATAGAAAGCCCATCATTTCACAAGAGGCAATCAGGGGGCTCTTGAGATACTCGTGCATGTTTATAAATTATTTTATCCTGCATGCACAGTAAATTTGTGTAACATATTCTCAAAAAACAAAACCAGGTAGTGTGGCAGCTTCCACTAACAAACTACACTTCTCACCCATTCAATGCATGACTACGTAAGTCACACACAAGTATAAATTTCCTCTTTAACAAAATAAAAGGCAGTGTATTTTTTCTTTTTTAAATAACATAATATCTAAGCCATTCCCCCTCATATGTATACTTACCAGGTCAGCCTTATAGCAACAGAAAGAGTTAGCTATCTACATTCCCCAACTAGAAGACTTAGACTCCATAGATGCACCAAAGCCAGAGCTGAAGCCGCTGCTGGAGGCCGTGTTAGTGCCCGCAGCCCAACCAAGGCTAGCTGAGTTTGGGCTGCTGTAACTGGTGCTCGCAGAGCTATAGGTCTGGTCTCTGGTTGTAGTGGCTGTGCCTGCCGTTGTGGTCAGACCCTGCTGGTTAGCCAGCATGCCCATCATTCCCCAACTGCTCTGCAGCGCTGCCTGAGCGGCCGCGACCATGGCTGGGTTTAGACCCAGAGCCCCGAAGTTAACCCCTCCGCTACCGCTGCCTAGTCCACCGCGATTACTGCCATAGCCCTGATTGAACCCACCAGCCCCAAAACGCCCTCGATCCATCATTTGCCTACTATTATTGTGTTTGGGCTCAGCATTGGAGATGTGCACACTGACACCCTTGATGATCAGGTCCTCTCCACACAGAGCTTGGGCAACCTGAGAAAGAAATGAGTTACTAAGTCTGTGCATCTCTTTTTTCTTACAGGTAAATAAATACTCCGTACACTATAAATACCAGGTATCATGAGGTATTTACAGTATAAATCTGTAATTGAGCTCTCATGTTTTCCACTACTACACCAAACTTATATGCATATAATTACTGACATTATAGATTTTTGTTTTATCTAAACATACATATTAGGTCTTTCTCACTCTTCCTGTATAATACCATCTACTCATATTCAAAGCCCGTCATTTAAGGTCACTCTTACCTGGTCATCAGCAAATGTGACAAAAGCAAACGCCCGGAAAGGTTTGGGAATGAAGACGTCTGTGACTTCACCATACTGCATGAAGTACTGCCTCAGATCATCGGTTGTCATGTCCTCTGTGCAGCGACCAACAAAGATTTTACGGCTGCGCATCGGCTCATCGGGACATGCCTGAAAGGAAGAACGGGCACCACCATTTCATTTTAAGTCACGCTGCTCAACAATCCAGATTCAGTTTTACAAAAGCTAATCAACATTTGTAACCTGTGTTAAACGTTTTTTTAAAAATCCACTGCAATGACTTTAAAACGCCAGCTTGTAAGTGTGGAAACCCAATCCTTATCTGAAGTGAATGTATGTGAACGTGTGACACAGATCAACAAGCAGTAACAGGTGCTGTAAGCCTACATATAAACCTAAAAATGAATTTATACCAAACCTTATTCACTGAAGAAATCAATTTCTACCAAAGCACTTCTTTGAGACACGGTAAAAATCGTGCCCAACCCACCTTTGAATTGGGAAGTTTACAGTCACACCATCTCCCGTCAATCATGTGTCTCTGAGCGATGACTTTGGTTTGCGTCTCGTAGTCGGTGAACCGGACGAACCCAAAACCTTTTGAATTGCCAGTTTTTGCATCTCTCTTCACCTGAAAATGGGCGAGGTGAGCAAATTCATTAGTACACAAACAAAAGTCATACCCTTGTTGCGCTCAATGTCTAGAAAAGAACTGAGAAAACATTCACAGTCACATGACACATCAATACCTGCACCATGATGACCTCTCCAAAGGTACTGAAATAATCCTTGAGGTCTTGTTCTGTTGTTTTCCATGGCAACCCGAGGACAATAAGATCTGATGTCTTCTGAAAGCCCCTTTTAATTTTCACAACTGTGGCAGCGTCTATTTCCTCCATCTTTCTTTTGTTATCTATGAAGAATAAATAAATCATGCCAGTGAGAAAAAAAGCAATCAAAAACCCTTGTCTTATATATTTACAAAGCTCCCCTAAATTAAAAAAACAAACAAACAAAAAACCGAAATACAACTGTGTTTACTATTTCAATAACATGTTGCCATAACAGCATCAACTAATCTGTTATAATTTTCCACAGTTGTCACAACCTTGCTGCAGGATTTGATCACATTCAGTAAGCAAGCTATTAAATACAGAGCTTTAATCCAGTTCAGTCACCTGCCTCACAATGTTTTTTTGTTGGTGTCATTTGTGTGTTTTTTTTAGACCAATCTAATACAGTAATCTCTCTTTAAGGTATCTTTTGGAGGCTCCAGTTTGTGATGCTGCTGAATTTTGTAATATAATACTACTGTACAGTCACAAACATTTTTATACGAGTTAAAATACAGCGCACACGTTTAGGTGTTGGGCAAAGCAGCTTCACTACAATATGAACAACACCTTTATGTTCAAATTTGGACCAATCCCGAGCATTAAAGCGTTAATTGTAATACGATGTATTGGTACTTTTAACTAGTTATAGTCAAATCAACTTAACAGGCAGTTTGTGGGCAGGGTTGTCAATTTGCTTACATGTTTATAATGACACAAACACCTGGCATACCTTTGGGGTAATTGACAATGTACACTAGGTTTCCCCAGTCGTTCTCCGGTGGGTGCAGGACACCCTCCACAAGCCGGACTCCCCTCATGCACTGGGTCTCTGGGTTTCTGTATCGCAGCCCGCAAGCCCCTGGAAACTGCGCTGCTACAGATGACAGCAAAACAGTGCCATCGTCCTCTGACGGGATCTCCATGGGTTCTTCATTTTCTTCCTCAGCCACCCGAATGTAAAGCTCTGACATGGTGTCCAGGATGGCTGAGCTCTGGTCCAAGCACGGTCAGCTGAGAGAGCTCAAGTTATCAGTAAACACCGGAGTGGTGCGAGCGGATCTGCCCCTGGCTTTTAGTTTACTTCTGTTAACTGTGCGCGAAGCTAATGTAACACAAGCGCAGACACGCGAACTGCGCGAAACAGTCACTCTGCGACTCTTTCGCGTTTAACAGCTGGTGGCATGAAAGCCGGGACGCTTTCTTTGCCAGAAATGACACTCGTAAACAAGTTAGCCAGCTAGCCACTGAGCTAGCACACTCAAGTCAGCTCGAAAAATGAATGGCCGTCCAGTTTTACAACGCGCTGTCAACAAATACACGACTCCTCCTCGTGCTTACGAGCGCGTGGCCGAAAATTGTACGTCAATAACAACTTCGACGAGTTATCGAGTTCGACGCAATTTCACCACCAAAGCGAGTATATCAATACAGCTGCACGCGGCTAACCTCTTTTAACCTCAAGCTAGCTAACAAAATGGCTGCTGATGCTCACCTTGTAAAGATGACATCATCGACTTGGGAGGGTGCACTCTTATTTGTGGGGCTGCCAAAAAATTAATTTGAAAACGTTTTCTGAATAGATTAATTTTTGACTATCAATTGCCAGTTACCGTTTGTGAATTTAAGTTAAACCTAATCTTCCTTATTATTTTACATTCATCAAGTGTCGTAACTTGTTTGTGCCAAGGATAAAGCTCCCGAGTTACCCTTTGAAGTCTCACAGGAAGCTAGGAGCCCAAACAAAAGGTGTGTAATGTTTTGAAGAAATTTAAAAAAAAAGAAAAGCCCGACCGATGTTTTGGTAAGCCAGTATTATTGCCCGGTATTGGTCAGTTGCAGAGACTAAAACTTCCGGTCTTCGTGGTAATTTTTAAAGCACATCACTGACACAATAATAAACAGTAGGAACCAAATCTAATCGTTTTCAATGTTAAGTAACTCTAACTGTATTTACAATTCGTTTTTTTAGAATTTTTTTATTTAACTCCCTAACAATCTGTACATAAAACCCTGTACCCTGACATAAATGAATGAACAAAATGTTTTCGAAATGCATACAAACAGAATTTACAGGATAGAGGGAAATAGCTGCAGAAAATTAATAAAATATGTGCAAACATCCATGGAAATACAGTTTGTAAGGCAAACACTGAGCATGCACAATTCTTATGAGCTTGAACGTCAACATTTGGTATGACAACCTTTATTCTGCAACACAGAATAAGCAAAAAAAAATAATATGACAAGTTTTTTTTGGCTAACAGCAGTTTGAGAATCAACTTGTCAGGGTAAAATACCATTTCTACCTGCTAAATTCAACCAATAAAATGATCATGTGTTTTTGCAACAGGCTGCTAGTAACAAAGTGCCTAAAGACGCAATTTAATAGAAGGTAAAGTAAAGTGAGATTTTATTACAGGGGCAACAATCTCTGCATCGATGTCAAGAAAGCAATAAAGGTTAATAAAAGGAGGTCACTGGAAGTGAAAGGGGTAATTCATGATGGATGGCAAACACAAAAGGACACAATCCTGTAAAGTTTATTTTCACACATGCTCAAAACAGCAATTGTTCTTTTATTTTTAAGCTTTTTTTCTCACTTGCCTTTTAACAAAGCAAAGTAAACACACCTGTGCTTTAACCTATCCAGGCCAGTGACACCACCTCTCACCTACAAATAAGACTATCCACAGATGTTTCCATCACTTCACCATGGATCACATCAGAGTTGGCATCCTTGCTATGTGAGTAACAGAGATATGTATAAATGTTATATCTACATCGTCTTTCAAATATAAGCTGCATTCGATGCTCTTTTCTACAGTTTTTTGCAGTGTTTTATCACAAAGAGCGCATTTTTCATTCAGAAACAAGAATGGATTCAAACTTCTGCAGCAAGATTAACAGGTGAACATTTATTCACTTATGAGCTAAAGCTGTTATGTTCCTAGTGTCTGTGAGAAATCTACCTGCTGCAATTTCAGAAGAAGATGTGGTTTGCTTTCCTGAATACATGGAGATGTGGATGCACAGTGTAAGAATTGAGGAGTTCAGGGTCTGGCTGTCGAGGGCGCTAAGTATCCAAGGTATATCTTTATGACAAGATAAATGACTTTAAAAAGCATTCATTTAATGTTGAACATGTCATTTCTGAACCACTGCTTGCTTTTCACAAGCCAACCTTGGATCTCTGGACCACCTGAATCTCCAGCTGTCTGCCTGTGGATTCTCACTGCAAAACGACCCCGACGATAACTACGTTTTTAGAGTCAGCTACACCGGGTGTTTTGTTCGGCAGCAGGTTTGGCATTCTTTTCTGAAATATGCAATCCATATCTACAACCTCAAATCTTTTAGCCTTGCACTTGGGCTTGGTGGTGATAATGATCTGTGTTTATATTGACTTTTCAGAATGGCTTTAATGTCTTAACATTAAATTTGGTGCGGAGGATGAATCGATTTGGAAGCCAGCATCACAGTTTCACGATGAAGTGCCCTGTGATGTCTGTGGTGCAAAGCAGAGAGCAAATCCACTGTGACCCTGAATATGTTCAGGTAACAATGAACATTTTGCCACATTTCAACCTAACTGTATTTATATATTAGGATTAGTTTGCTTTGTTACTAGAAATAATTTGTGTGTGCCCTCAGGTGATCAGAGAAATTCCCTATGGAAACTGGGATAATGAGGTAGTAATTACATTCAGTGCCTGGAATTCTGATTACCTTCTAAATGATCACAATTTCGTCCGTAGATGTTTAATGTTTGGAAAGCAAGTCTAACTTTTTTTTGGTATTTATTGTCTGATTTTTGCTGCAGCTGCAGTGGTCGCTGTGTCTGGACGATCACCTCCTTGTAGCTCTGGAGGATGCCAGCTTGATTCAGATGAACATTGATGTGAATGTAACAGACATAAGAGTTCAGGGCAGGAGGAGGGAGATCTTAAGGCCTGTCAACGTGAGACTTCACACAGCATTATGCCACCTAGTGACTATTGTTAGTATTACAACTGAAATGTACTCAATTACTGTTTGGTTAATACAGATAATGGAAAATGAAGGGGAATTTTTGGATTTGAAGCTGGTCAGAGACAGATATGCCTACAGTATGGAAGCAACTTGTCCAAAAGGTGGGTAACAAGGACAGAATTGGAGCTGGAAGTTATTTTTCCTTTAAAAAAAAAAACAAAATTAACCAACAACAATAGTGAGTGTTTGAGTTTAATTAGAGCAGGGGTGTCAAACACAAGGCCTGGGGGCCAGAAGCAGCCTGGCACAGACTCCAGTCGGGCCCACTGGGTGGCTTTGGAAAACGTAAAAGAGGGCATAAATGTTGCACTTTTAACAGTATTTTCATCTGTGTTACAGCTTTCACAGTTCAACAGCTACAATTTTTCACTATCTATTATAGAAATATAGTATGTTTTTTTGTAGTTTAAGAAGAAGGTTAATATTCTGTAAAATAACAAAAACCTGTCACTGTGCTGACCTTTACATCAGTAAAAATCACTTGGGTTATTTTTTGTTTAATGTTGATAAAAACATGTGGGGTGGGGACATTTGCTCTTTTTCTGTCTTCTAAAGAGAACGGATCAGTTATAAAAATGTTAAAAATACTTAAATGTAAAATTCCTGAATCCAAAGCCAAAATATTCTTGACCATTGAAGAATATCAGATTTCTTTCCATTGAGAAACTCTTGGGTTACTTTGCATCATTATCAATCCACAGTTCATCCTCATACTTCTATCAGGAGTCACATCATCAGAAAATACTCGTGATTCAGTGTCTGTGGCAGTCATACACATCCATACCAAAACACTGCCTCGACCTGTTACCTCTGATTCTGCATAATGTTCCGATTCTCATCATTCCGGTACAGGTTTACCAGAATGATGAGAATAGGAACAGTATGAGAAGTTTACCAAATCTTGATTTTACCAGAACCATGCAGGCTTTTTTAGATGTTTTCTGACAAAGTCTAATCCAGACTTCTTCTTGAGGTTAACCAGTGGTTAGCACCTTGTTGTAAATCCTCTGTATTTACATTAATGACGGTTCCTCTTGATTGTGGACTTTAACAATGACAAGCTTACCTCTTTGAGACTCATTCTTGAGTTCATTAGATGTAATGAAGCTGCTTTTCTTTGAACAATGTAAATGTAATGCACTTCTGTGGTCAACCACTTTAGTTGTCAGGCTCTTTGAACAATAAGGAAATAGGCCACGAAACGCTTTACCGGTCCACTGTCCGATAACTTTTGAGCATCTGAAAGTAGGAGACTGTATATAACAATGGCTGATTTCCAAAACATATTGTGCAATATTTTTGTTAAACCATTTGAAAGTTTGCACTTTACCCACATGGTGATTGTTTGGTTTATAATCCACTGTGATGGTGCAGAGAAGCAAAATTTAAAAAACATTTATGATTGTCCAAAAATGTATCAACCTCATCATATATCTCATTATATATATATATATGTTAAATAAATACAGAGCAAATGTGCAAATGTAATCAAATAGAAATTGGCAACAAGTGAAAATACTTATAAACAGATACATCAAATATAATTACTTGTTACTAACTAACCACATTAACACATCTTTTTTTATTTCAGTGAACGCATCCACGGCAGACAAGACTGTGCTGCACATCCTCAAACGCCGAATGGGTTTGACCAGAAGAGGCACCGATCACAATGAAGCACTAACACTCAGTGACCTGTCAGTTATCCAGACAGTTACTTTCACAGTGCATGAGACGAGTGAATTTGTAACTCTGTCCATTCCCACAGCCCAAATACTCCAGACAAAGGTTAGTGCTGAAACACAAACCTGTATGACTCCAAATAGTAGTGCATGGCTGTCAAAGCATACACTAACATGAGTAAACTGTGCGGCTTTGAGGATTCATTAAAGAGTAACACATCTAACCCAGGTTTATTTTACAGCCCTGCACAGATGACAACCGGCTCCTGCAGCCGTTCTACAGGGTGGATGCTGTGCTCACCTTCAGAGAGACAAATCACAAAATGCACTGGACCATGGAGAGCACGCTGCCATGCATAGGTGAGTTTTCTGCTGATGAGCACAGTAAAAACTAAAGAGGTGATCAATTATTGGATGTTTTCTTGACCATGGCATTTAATGTAGTCACACCAGGCACTTCTTGTTTGTTGCTCAGCCAGACGCTTAATGTTTCAATCCTGCTAATGAAAACACTCCAATATACACACATCAGACACTTTATTAGGTACACATTGTCTGTACAGGGTTGGATCCTCTTTTGGATGCCAGTCTAGGTTCATCTCTGACCCATGGCCCTACGCTCTCTCTTCACATTTCCCACTCTTCATTGCACCCCTCCAAAAGAATGTTTAAAAAATTAAATAAAAATAATATCACATAGCAATAATCAGTCATATCAATATCAATAGCACTCACTTTAAAATCCCTCCTTCAACAATTATTTTCAGTGGAACAATTTCTAGATATATCACAGTGTGATTGCACATTTTCAGTATATGAGTGTTAAAAATGTTTCAATCCCTTAAAAAAACACCAAGAAAAACTACTCACCCATCACCACTTCATCTTTGAGCCACAAGTCTAAAGTCCTGGCTGTATATTCATCCTGCTCTCTTCTCTCCTTCTTCTTTTAAGGACCACTTTTTCCCTTTGGCTCACTAAATATAATTTAAAATGCCGCTGCACTGATTTACTACTGTATAAGACACCTGCAGAAATTTAAATGGATAAATAGTTAACATCAACAGCTTTTGCACACATTTTCCACAAATAACAGGGAGCAAGGTCAGGAAGTACAAGTCATATATTTGCTAGCATACCCCTCTGCTATCAGAACCCTTCAGAAAAGATGCCTCTTTGAATCAGTGGAGAGTAAAAATGATTGCGTAAATATTTGCAGCTAAAATGCAGTTCATGAGGGAACTACATACTGCATGCATACAGTTAGGCTTTGGGTCACAAGCTAGAACCAGGACTTGAACTTACAGTGTGACTTATAATCTGTCCACTTTAATGTTATGGTGTCACTGATTCTGTGTAATATAAATTGAGGGATGTGCTCGATTGATATCGGTGTTAACTGAGCTTCTCCTGCTTTCTGGTTCTGGGGCATTTATTTGGCTGCCGTGTTGAAAGTTTTGCCTTTGCAGCCACAGTTACCTGTTCTTAGCTGATAGGAGTGGCACTTCCTGTAGTTTTCTACTGCTGTAGCCCGTCTGCCTCGAGGTTTGAGGTGTTATGTGTTCAGAAGTGCTTTAATGCATACCTAGGTTACAACCAACTGTTATTTGTCCATTCTTCTCTCTTTTTTGGACCATTCTGTATAAACCCCATGAACATGAACATGAACAACTACGCCACGTACAAAGTTACTTAAATCACATTCGTCCCCATTCTAATGATTTGGTTTGAACCTAATCAGGTCACACTAAAGATGGCTACACAGCTACATTCACTGGCTGATTAGATATTTGCTTTAACAAGCAGGTGTACTTAACAAAGTGCCTGGAGTGTATAGGGACACAACATGCTTCTGAAATTGGATCCAAGATATATATATATTTTTTCAAAATATGTCGTAACAATGCAATAAAGAGATCTTAACTGGATGATTGGATGCATCCCTGTGGACAGTTATTGTGAGCCTGCAGTTCCACTTCTTATAGTGTTTTGTTAATATGAAAATGTTAAAACATGGGGAAAAAAAGATCCTTAATAGATATATTTTAAGATTTCTAAAATAGTTTTGTGTCAGTTAAGCTACTGCTGAGAATGTACAAATAATTGTTTTAAAAAATGTGGCTTCAAATTTTCACATCGCACTCGTGTAACTTCATTATTAAACCTGTGTTTGCTGCATTGTCACAAATCGTGTTTTTTCACAATCCCTGTAAGCCAGAATTCACTGCACCAGTCATTAAATTGTGGCATTGTTCTTGTTTAATCTCACCTTTGTTGAAATCACCATTATCTCCACAGCGGCACCTAAAAACACATCATCACATGTCACATCTTCTCCTGGCCCAAACAACATAAGCCCGTCCACACTCGACTCTACACGTGAGACTGTAACTACGGACGAGCCTTTGCCCGACCTCGTCACCATCCCAGAAGAAAACCTAAAAGAGAGAGATTCGTTCAAGCCTGCAAAGTTTCCCACAACTAACCTTCCTCACATGCTGAGAGAGGGCCGCAGTTTTAATATCCACGCTGACGAGATAATAAGGGACGATGTGTCTACTTCAGTGTTGGATAATGGCACCAGTATCGACATTAACGCGAATACAACTAGTTTATTTGATTTTCTACATGCAGCTACAAATGTTTCTGTAGAGTCAGACTTGCTTACGTCAGCAGCCACAGCCCAAACACCACATATGTCTCTTACCACGCTGGCTCAGCCTGATGAAGAGTACCAGGAACTCAACACAACCTGTAGTAATGAACAACAGCAAAAGGAGAAAAAACTGCAGTGGATTTGGTAGGATTAGATTTATTTATTTAGTTAAGTCAAATTATTCTTCAAGTAATATATCTTAATTACTTTAAGGCCTATTTTACTCCTTTTCCTTTTAAACCCAACTGGTACCACATACATCTGTTTGCAGTCATGAAAGGTGACGCAGTGGTCAGTGAAGGCTGATTATACAGTGCAAGCAGAATTACCGTCAGACCTCTGCCAGCTATTGCCTCAGGGTGGACATTATCCAGACTCAGACAAAGGCAGGCGTTAAATAAACACGTCTCTTTCCGAGCAGCAAAACAGGCTGATGAAGAGAAGACCTCGTGTTAGCTGATGCCACCTTTCAGAGCAACTTGAACTCAAATCACAGAAAGTCATAATAAAAGCTCACAGATTGCTTGTCAGCGGTCATTCTAAGATTCTTAGATGGTAGAATCAATTTTATGTGTTAAAAGCTGTTTTCTTTTCAACAACAGATCAAATTTAGCTTCTGATTTACTGTAATGTCAGCTGTAGCTGTCGCTCCCCTCGTTGCAGTACGCTAAACCAACAGCAGAGGGCACTCTCCAACATGTTTTCAGTAGACTCCTGATGGGTCACAGCCTGCCTCCAGATGCTCTTTTCCAAATTAAGCAGTTTGACCTTTTTTTTTTAAATTTTTGTTTTTTAAAGTAAACCTAGATTCAGTGCTAGTTGTTTTTTTGTGTGTGCACAATTAAATGAACTTTATTCATCATAAGATAACTCTTGAAAATCCAATATGCAGTATAGAAGGGGGGGTTAAATTTATTCACTTGAGTGCTTTAAATGTAACACCCATACAGAATTACTGGTATAGATCAAAATAGCTGAAGAGGTTTCGTTTTTGTCCCACTGCTTTTTCTTTTTTTCACCTTTGTTATTGTGACCTCCCGGTATGCACCAAAGCGTCTCTAAATGATAACCGTGCGGTGTTGCGCAGTTACATGCATCATATACAACGGTCTGTGGGGCAGAAAATCTAAACTTCCTTGTGCCTTTGGTTCCCATCTGCTCAGTGAACTTATGAGCAGGAAATGGAATAAGTGGTGCAAAAAGCATGCCAACATCCCCGGTTCTTTCATGTGGCCTCTCTCGGCCATTAGCCTATCTGTATCGACTGTTAACTGTCTTTACAAAGTTAAAAATCCCTTTCATGTTTCACTGTTTCTTTTTTGTTTTAATTTCAGTCAGAGCATATGGTTTGCACATCTGGGATATGCTAAGCGTGGTGGCACCCCCCCACCCCCTCCCCCCAATACACACACATATACACACGAACACACACACACAGACTCTGTGAAGTGATCCATATATGGTCTTCATTGTTATTGCTCATAATCACTCATCATTATTATAAACAAGTTCTGTCATGATTGGTCGCTTTGAGTTTGCTGTCTGAAGATGCTTAATAGTGTGAACTTTCAGGATTATATACATATATATATATATATATATATAAAAACAAAACATGTGACTAAAGTAGGCGAAGCTTTCCCTCATTTAATACAGAAGTGTGAAACCTTACAGAGACATAAATTTACCATCTCTGACTATTCTGAGCCTCCTTGCATGACCGCTTGTCCACAATTTTTTAAGCAAGACACATGCTGTGGAGCAAATTCTTTATTTCTCCTTATTTGAGCTACAAAAATGACATTTTTCTAGTTCAGACCTTTTAAAGTGGGCCAGCAAGAAGACTGTGCAGCTTGTTCTGCATGACCACAAACAAGCAAACAGATGAGGGAATGTGATCAGTCTCGTCCCACTGCAGAACAACCACATTTTAATCCTGCATAATAGAACGAAAGTGGTAATCTAATGACATCAAAATGAAGTCAGAATTACTATTGTGAACAACTTTGAGTCATTAAATGCCACTTCAGCATCAGCTACCAGCTCTCAGGCAGACGGAGTTTCATGCCACTGGAGAGACACGGTGGGGGGAGGAGGGAGGGAGGAAGAGGGGGAGAGGAAGGCTATGTGTGGCTTTGAGTGGTTTGTTGGGCCTCTTCATCTCGCTCAGCGGGTAATTACAGAATCATGGGTCAACCACGCATGCAACCACGGTTACGTTGCACAGTAGCAGATGTGCTCATGACATTATCCAGCACCAGAGCAAAAAGGTAAATAAAAACAGATGCAGCTGGTTGCTACGGACCTTCGCCAAACTTGCGTACACCCCTAATTGTTCCCATGTGGGCCTGCTGAGCTGGAATAGTAAAAGGGGCGGGTATGCCCTGTTTAAAAATGCCCGTGTTTCTCAACAGGAGGAATTTATGAATGGGACAACGAGCCTGTGTGTGGTTCTGGTGGTGCGTGTGTTTATATTGTGTTAATGTGTTCGTCTGGCTTTGGGTTGTGGGGCAAAAATTAACAGTAAAAGTACATCCTTCTCCGAGGAGAGAGCCTTATTCAGTGTTCCAGGCCTTCTCTGAGCATCCCCACTTGCTCGAACGCCTCCTGCTTCTTGATGTTTCCTCTGTCAGACCATGCCTGGATGCGAGTGCGTGACACTGCACAATGTCAGGGAGGTCCCTGGTTGGACATGAGCCAGGTGTGCTGCAGGCCAGATGAAAAACTGAGGAAGAGGCTCGATTTCAGAGAAATCCTGTCTCAGCTCGGATCCGATTCTCGTACTCAGCCTGCAGCGGAGGATAAGACCTGTGTTTGTCGGTACAGGTACAGGTGTATCTATCTAACCGCGAACGCAGGTTTGCAGTAAGAGCGTGTATACGTTTGGGTGTGGACTTGAAATTCCTGATTCGGAGGCCTGTTTCGATAATTCGACGAGGCCCGTTTGATGTTTCTTCTGTGTTACTCGCTTCTGAGCTGGAATGTGAGCTATTCTCTTTTCACCACAGACACACACCCACACTTACACGTCTTACACTGTGAAAACTGGCTGCCAACCGAGTGTGCCTCCTCTCCCTCTCTCATTAACCGCAACTGTCAGATCCTCCAGATGAGGAGCAATTAAACCAGATAATAAACACTCGCCATCAATTCCTGTTTGTTGATGTTGTTGTTGTTGATGTCGAGCTGGGGGCTCCTCTTCTGCCACCTCGTGCTAACTAGTACTTGAGTAACACACGAGAGCAGCAAGGGAAGAGTCCTTCATAACACCGAAAAGGCCTCTACCTGCTGCATGTATGGCAACACCGGCCTGATGATGATAATAAAAAAAAAGACAGTGAATGTTAACAATTAGATCCTAATCAGACACAGCTCACAGAGGCTGCTCTTTTATCCCCAGGCTTCACAGAAAAGGCAAACAAAGAGCTGCAAACTGTCAAGATAAAGGACTACTTGGGATTGGTCGTGTCTTAGGGCGTCTTAAAGGGCAGTAATCTTGCCGTGCACTGCTTCCTGAGACAACGTGCTGTAAAGACTCCCGTGTTTGCTCTTGTATTGGAGTGATAAGGCCGCTCTTCATCGCACCTTGCTTCTGATGAGGCTCGTCTACCCTGACTGTGAGAAGATGGAAAGTGTTGGATGGGTGTGTGTGGGAAGGGGTAGAGAGAATAGCCACGGAGGGTTTTTATTTTTAGATGGTGATTGGCTGATGACATAAAAAGCAGCAAACGTTCCAAGTAAAAGGCTTTGACCTGATATTTTTTGGGTAATTAAGGAACATCCTCAAATAAAGAGTTCCCTCGTTGTTGTTGTTTTATGCCGTTGAGATGAGAATCACCGATGGCGGCGTTTGAGCCGGGATTGTTCTAATGAGGTGAACTCTGTTTGACCTGAGGAACAAGGCATAGGTGTATGTTCACTCGTCATTGTTTAGCTTGTGGAAAAAATAGAGCCTAAGATGGTTTTCCACTTAAAATTTGAAGGCTGGATAAAGCCTTCTTAGGAATTTAAAGACAATACCCTTTCTTCCAAAGGCTATAAAAACATGTATACAGCTGTACAAGGAGTTTCCTGACTCAAAGGCAAAATACAGTGTCAGATATTCCTATTACTAATCAGGATGCCGTGGCCATGGAAAAAAAATGTACAAGATGAAACTGTGGCCTGTTCAGAAAAAAAAAAGATCTGATTTCCCTTTCTCTGTGGAAAAATGGATGTGGCCTCTTGTTTTGAAACCATATTTCCCTGAAAAACACTTTGAAAACTAAACAAAATTGACAGAGTCGGATTTATTGTCTCGTGCTCTTTTGTCTTTGACCACCAGTGTTTGTGCCTTTGCCATGGCAACACCAGGGCTATTTATCTTTACAGGCCTTTTACAATAACGTCCCTTTCCTGACCAAACAACAGAGGAAATATCAGGTCAAGCCTCTTCCTCCCTCTAATGATCAGGTCAATTCGGGCTCAGTATTTCAGAGGGCTCAGGCACAGTCGCATGTGCGTCCACACGCAGTCATGCTATTGATGAGAAACATACAGTTCGTGATTGGATTTCCGTCTTCTCGGCTGAGTTTATGTTTTTCTTAAACATGTTTTGTTCTTTAACATTAAAGGAAAAGGGAGGCGATGGCTTTCTATTTATTCCCCGGGCTCAGAAAGTTAGTTCAGCCAGAAACACTAGATGGAGACAGAGAAAACTGACTCCCAGGTTGGATTTTGGACCCTTTTGAGATTACAGCTCAGTGTGTTTGAAACACAGCACAAAGCACGTCCACATACAGTTTCCCCCCAGTCTTCTTGACTTCTTTTGGGCAAATAGTGTATGTTTTACGTATACATTTAACACTTCTCTCATGTCAGACACCCCTCCCCTCAGATCCTCTTAGCGCCATATTTTTCCTCTTTGCATGATAAACCTAATAATCTCTTTTCACACGTAAAATGTGCTCTGTGCAGTCATCTGCAAACATCTTGCAAATCCTTGTGACTTGTATATACTCCAGTATACTTTAGCTGTCGGGGCCTGTCCCCTCTCTTTGCAATTACTCCTTTTAAGGAGCCGCTCTCGTGAAAGTTGCCTAGAGTATATGCAGACTACTTTCCTCAATCCACATAAACAGCACCAATAATAGAAGAAAGTGACAATCTGGATGAGGAGGAATGGGCATAAAAGCACGAGGTGTGCAGAGAGTGCATGTCACAATTAAATTACTTAATGGGTGAAAGTCCCACGATAGATCACATGTAATTTGCATCAAGAGTCACTGTAATAAAGACTTTTTAAAACTTACATTGAAATTCAATTAGAGTGTTGAATGCATAACCAAAGCCGTGAAAAATGAACTCATTGGGGGTCCCTTTTCATTACTGCCCTGAGGCAAAAGAGACCATTAATTTAATACATTCCATGTTTTTTCACATGAGCATTTTTAAGTTGGTGCACATTTCCATCCTAATGTATCTAATACAAAGAGAGAGCCTGCCAAAGACTGCATTATACAAGAGGCAAAGAACCCCCCCCCCCTCATCTCCAGTTGTTACCTTGAGTAGTCAGACCACTTTCAATCAGTCAAGCTTGAAAAATGACCTGGCCCTAAAAAAAACAAAACAACAAAAGAAGAAATTATGATATTGTTTTATTGATTCACGGCGCGGTGAATATTCCTGTACCGCAGGTGCCGTCATGCAGAGGTGCCGAGCTCGACTGTAAACAGTTAAACGGCGAGCCTTAATTAAGATATTACTGTTTTATCTTAGAACAGTGGATCTGCACACTTCAGTCAACCACAAAGCCAAAACAAAACAGGGACCCCTTTCAGAAGTTCCACCCTTAAGAGGAGTGCTAATTAAAAGACTATTTCATTAACTGTTCCAGCTTGGTAAATATAAGTTTACCAGGGGTCAATAGACTTTACAACACATAATGATTTGGAATATAATTACTGTGTAAGGGGAGCCGTAAAAAAATGCCTTCAAAATAAAGCAAAGTTGTTTGTCAGTCTGACGCTGACCCCCGCCGTGTCAGTCTAAGTTACCGGAGTTCAGAGGGCAGATCATGTTGGCTGTTGTCAGCGTGACGCACCAACAGTTTATCAGCCTCCTTTGTACCTTTCTATAGTACACATGGCTGCTATTTGGCGAGTGGCTGGGGAGCAACAGTAAACCACAGCCTCTACTTTTACTCAAGTCTCGTTGCAAATATGCGAGGCTATTCCAACACTGTCTGCTCTTCGGCACAGAATTTCACAGGAAATGCTCAAAACCTTTGAAATCACATTTAATCACACAGTCCTCACAATCTAGGAGTGCGAGGCTTTGAACTTTAGAGTGCATGCTAAATACTTAATTTAAAAAAAATGAGCAAATGAGTTTGAATTGACCACTCTACATGTTTTTTTTGGTTATTAATGAGAATCACAGAAATCATAAAACAGTGCCCTTTAAAGCAGTGCTGCAAGTGGAAAGTCATAAACACATATTTTTTTCTTTTTTAGGATAAAGATGAGAGTGACA